TGTCATCACACCGATCAAGCCAATTTTCAGCTATTGTACCAATCCCTAGATGTTATAACCTTTCGTTGCCACTGATAGAGAAATTTATTATTAAAAACTTTTTTAACTGACGCGTCACCGTATGATGTAGTCACAAAACTAAAAAACTAATGTCATGTGGCCTTTATTCAGCATTTAATTTGCCAATTAGCTGTATAGTTAAACACTGGTTCACTCATAAGGCGAAAAGCTTTCGTGACAAACGGATGTATTTTTTCAGTTTTGGCTTGGAAGTTGCTGGTATACCTACCCGTCTGCATTGGCCTTTCACACGCGCTAGTTGTAATGATATTCTTTATAATGTGGCACAGTAACGTTAATTATGCATTGAACCGAGCACTAACTGTAAGCTTTTGACTTACTAGATTGCGTATTGTAGGTACTTACACCCTCCGCGTGATGATGATCTGATAATGACGTCTTAAATTAGGAATGCACAGATTTACTAGTTTCGAAGTTAATTCTATAGATGGTTATATCGAACTTCGTAGCTTTAGGTGGGTACTTCACTACTATAGAAGATTAAGCTGCATATAATGACCACCGACGGATACTTGGAAATGAATGATTTCATTAGAACTATTAGTCATCAACGCCACCACTTTATGAGATAATTGCGTCAAAGGTGAAATTTGTTAAACCTTTGTAATTTACTTATAAACATAAAAAATTACTAGTGATTCGGCTGTTGTTAATAAACTATGTTGATTTTATGTGCATTGACGGACGCCATGCATTTTGTTTGAATTCTTGACTAAGTAGGGGATTTTTGGATTTAATTAAGCGCGGCAGAATAACATAAGATGGTCAACTTTGCACCTTGTGATTAACTCAAACCATAGCTTAGCCGAATGTCTAGGGCAGCAAAAAATCAATTAGGTAAATTATATTTCATGGGGGATCCCATACATGAAAATGAGACGATGTTTTTTCTTTTTTACCCCAGCTGGGGTAAAAAAGAATGATGTCATCATTGTCTAAAGATGTTAGGATATAATTATAATTGATATTATTTTCATAACAAAGAAATGGGGTTTAGACCATTTTTGTTACGGGGTGTAGCTCAACTCGATTGAAATAGTAGGTGGGGAGGGGGGAGGGGAGGGAGTCGAAAATTAGTTGCTAAAAAGAAAAAATCTCTAAATACTCGAACGCGTCAGATATTAATAGTGTAAGGTCCTACGTGTCTCTGATCCGTGTCGTGACAGAAAAGTGATAATCTGCCGTTTTGCAAGGTGGGGGTGGCCGTACGAAGGGGTATAAAATAGGAATAAAAAAATAATTCGAGTGCGTCAGCCGTTGATAAGGGATGATACGTGAACCCTCAAATAGCTCCTATTCAAGCGACTGTCGATTTGGAAGCGACCATAAGTAATGGCCGCTTTAAAAATAAATTAAAGAAAAGTGACCTTGAAATACTCGATCGCGTCAATTTATTATACAGCCACTTCATCTTAATGCCCTTAACGTACTGACCAATAATCTGACAAATAAGTGGAGGAATTACCTTAATCTGACGGATTGAAAAATAAATCATATATTCTCTTTCAATTATTAAACAAAATAAAATATGTATGTATTCAGGTAAAATTATATCCTTTATTTAATAAAAAAATAGTACCTATAACGACAATTTTTTAAACGAATATTTTCAATTTTCGTCGTTAGTGGAATCATCTTCATATTCGAACTCCGCTTCGTTCGACTTGGTCGTTTTCATCAACGTTTTGAGTTTCGGCAACAAACAATGGTTGTGTATGATACTTAAATTATATTTTATTTATTTCATAATATTATTAAGTTATTGAAAAGAAAATACTTGAAACTCGAGTATCCCCTAGAATATCATGTATAATGACGATATCCTCATAGGCTTAACATTTTTACACACAGTTCTCGGCGACAGCATGCACCACACTATCAATGATTTTTACACTATTAGATTTTATTTTACTTCGGCTTGTGCATATCGGCAGATTATGTTATTTCCGTGATATCAGATTTTCATATTTCAATCAATTCATTCACAATTTCAAATCAATCGGAGAGATCTCTGCAATGTTTTGATTTTGTGATAAGAGAAAATAAATTGTTTCTAATAATCTAATTGATAGACGAAAAAAATAAGTTGTTCGTCATCCCTATTGTGTGTGTTGCGGTCAGCATGCTATTTAATATGCATACACGCGTCCGCGCTGCGGCAGCGCTGGACTGGTAGACTGGCAGTGACCGGACGTCGCGCTTGCCTCGAACGATCCGCCGCAGGATAATGGCCAGCATTCATGATTAGCACTGAGATGATGCGGAAATAAAACAAATACGACCTTACTACAAAACGAAAACTAAAGTTAAAACTGATGCTGTCACTTTTGTTTGTTAAAAAGAAAACAGAGACAGCATTAGGTTTAAACTATGACTAACTTTAGTCCGCGTCTGGAATTAAGGCGACACGGGTTTGATTGAAAAAAAATCTTTATTTACATCACTTATATGACATATCCATGGCAAAGCATTAAAGCCGGCATACCATATGAGATAAAATACTTACATAAAACTTGATACCCTTCAATGCTGTCATAATTGCCATTGATTGAGTCAAAATTTGGTGTCCTAGATGGTCCAGCAGTCCAGCAGTGGCAGGTTACCTAACTACACTGAGGTTGGGTGTAATCGTATTCCGTTAACAAAAAGATATTCTTGCATTCTATTTATCTAATCGCACTGTCCATTATAGGAGAACAATCCCCATTCCTTACGCATTATCTCACTCGTAACAAAATACCGGAAACCCTGTTGTTTTTTCAATATAAAAAACATAATTGTAAATTTGCATCTCTCGTGTAGTGACTAATGGCAAACTGTATTACTATCTATATAATTTATTGCTATCGATAGGCCGAAACAAAACATCAGTCAGTAGCTGGTATTCGATCCTTTGTTTTATTACTGCGGTACAATGCAGACGACATGCAACGTATCTATGTATATGGTCCTGGTGGCACGTAGCACAGGCGGGCGACCTTTTTGCCGCACCACGCTCACGTGTTTGGCTCACCTGTGTGAAATTGGCCAAAATTATGGCGACTGCGCTGACAAAAGAAACCACGACCCGAGCAGCCACTACACCACTGACTGCTGAATAATTAATTGAGGGTATGCTCGATTCCTGACACGTACTATCTACCGAGCAATTGTGTCGGTTTCGCTATATGAAAATGGCTCGATTTTTGTTTACCTACTTATGTTTCTCTGTATTATTTAGTTGGTAATAGTGTCAATATAGGTTTGTTTATTCTTAGCTCAAACACAGATATCTTTGTAAATATACAATATAAGATTGCTAAGCGATCCTAACACAGCCTGCCCCTCGCGGTTACTATCAACTTACATTACGCTTGCATGAGGTTTAAGATATCGGACAAGTTAATCGTCAGCGATAATATTTATATATATATTTATTGTACGGAGCGAAAGAACTTGGAAAGATAGTAGTAGCGTAGTGCTAATAATTACAGCAAGTCTCCTTGACGCGTTTTTTTTGCTCAACACTTGTTAACGCACTTGACAAGTGGTATTCTGTAACTCACCATTTATTGCTTATTAATCAGTGAGGCACGGATGTCACAGTCCATTTGTTCGGATGCTTACGTAGATGCTCGAAGGAAAATCTGTTATTTAACTTATATCTTGTTCGTACAACAATTGAACAATTGACTCAGTACAACAATTGAATAGGCCGGAATAAATTCTGTTCGAATTTGAACAACGACTTTAAAAACCATATAAAATATGTTTGTGTGTTTTTTTTAATTCAAGAATTATCATATTTTTCAAGCTCGTTAAAGAAACGTCTTTTATCTATTTACCTTAAGCATTATAGCATATTGTACAATCAATAGATACAAGTTTAAATAAAATATGTATTGTAAGAGTATTCATGAAGCAAATTTGCTTTATGGTTGGTTATATTGGTGACGGGGAACCCTCTAAATAAGGAGACGTCTAATTTTGATTTAGCAAAAGGCACATCACCAAAGCTGAAATTCAATGGCTAAAATACAATACTGGAGTTTAATACATACATACTATCCTATTATATATGATTGTGTTGTGCATGATACAACTCTGAACGTATTGTACGAAAGGTTAATACATCATTGATACCTATTATACAACCATCAATATAGAATTCCAGTAAGTAACGCCACCACTGACCTTCGCCGATTCATACGAGTGTGTTCGTATCTGTGTATGATTTTTTTTCTGATACAAATCAAGATGTATGGGGACCTTATTACGACAACTCACTTTTTGATCTGTCCCATTGATATATGGATAGATTGGAACTTTTTGCTAGATCTGCTGTCCTGCTTACCGGTTTTTTTTTAAAAAGAGATAAGTCACCTTGCTAGCTTTACTGTGAGAGTAGCTTATTGGGCAATATAAAATGCATTATCCTGCACTAGTGATTTTTGCAAGTGAACACCACGAAACTATACAAAAATATCGTATACTGTAACCCATATGAGCAAACACTCGTGCTTTTTGCGGTAACCTCTGTCTTCTTTCCGTATATAAACTCCCTTTCCTTTCCTTGATACTCTTGCTTCCTTGCAGCTTTTCTGTCATCCGACCTCTACTCATTTTCTTCCCCGCCCTTACCTTTTATCCCAGGCTCGAATCGGCCTCGGGTAAATGTGAAGGACTTATAAACCCAATATAAATCTCTCCTGCAATGTAAACAAATTAAAAAAAATATATATGATAATGGGGGAGCCTTTTTGCTAGGCCTTTTACAAAATAAATAAGTGTCGTCGTTGTAGCAGAAGATAAAATAAAATACTGGCAAAAGCAGAAAGGCTTATTCTTCTGGCTGCCAAAACGCAAACTTATTAAATATAAGTTTAAGGAAGGTCTCATAAGTTAAAAATATTAATAATATGTCTTGTTTTTTTTTCCAGTTTCTTGGATGACCTGGACCGGTTAGGTGCTAGGGATTACCAGCCCACCGAGCAAGATATTTTAAGAACTAGAGTCAAAACCACAGGCATTGTCGAAGTGCACTTCTCCTTCAAAAACCTTAATTTCAAGTAAGTATTTAACGATGATTTTTTTATTTAACTAATATACATATTATGCTATCGTTACCATGAGGAAACAAAAAACTCAGAATGCGTCAGCTGTTGACTTCCAAATGCAGATAGTAAAAACCTATCAATGGAAAGGATTTCTGCTATTGCAGATGATGGGCTGCCAACCAACTACTTAGTAGCCTTTTAAGGAAGACAGACAGCTTTAGCGAGCTTGGAGATACGGTTTATATGCTAAAGTATGATTAATAACTATTTTAACTTTGACTTTTCTATACAGGTGGATTTCACATCTTCTTAATTTAGAAATGATCGTAAATGGAATCGAGCTTTGCAGTTTTTCGTTCCAAAAACTTAATATGAAGTGGACGTAATCACATTACGATGCGTTTTAGTGCACTGACGCGAATTGATATATGAATTCGTATTTGCTATGGTGCCACGCATTACGTGTTCAGTGCGCTCCATCTGCCTTTTGTTTTCTGTAATCTGAGGACGAAGCATGTAAAATATATAAAGTATAATACCTATAGATGTATAGGAGTTCAACAATATGTAATAGCTATTTTGAAGTCTATTGCATGTACATACATAATACCACCTCCTGGTGTTAACAATGGAGCCTGTTATATGAAGCGTAGCATCCACTGACCATATTAGCATGTCACATTCGGGGCGACATTGGTATTACGAGTAAAAAACATATTAAAACACTATAAATCCCCATTGAGTCATAAGATATGTCAATGAAATTATAAATATATCCATTTTCAGTCCACCCTTATAGAGCATTCACATTAATGTCAATGTATTCAAGCACAGTGCAAACACTCTTCATTGATTGGTTCGCGAAAAGGTGATTAATTAACCATTCAGTTTGCATCTTCAGCTTTAATTTATTCTGTCCGTAAAACGAAAACAAACAGCCAGCGAGGCGGCTCTCAGCTATTCGCGCTTTTTTATTTTATTTCGGTTATGAAAACGCCAATTTCATTGAACAGCTGCGCTCTTAAATTGCATGCACTGGGAAAGTTCGGAACGGGTAACTTTTTCACCGGAATTGATATTCACTCACTTGTTTTTTTGTGACTGGGATTGTCGTGGCTAACTGGTTCCGTTGTTTGCTGTGAAAAAGTAGACTAAGATTATTTAAACCTATAATAAACGTCTTCACGATAATAGGGATGATGACTAATTTTTTTTTCTTCGTTTATCATGTAGATTATCAAAAAGTATTGGACACGTATTTTTTCTTTTTTCACATAATATAAACATTGCAGAGATATATTGATTTGAAAAGTCGCATGACGTCACGTTTGAGTACACTTATAAGGGAAAATTCACTCAAAAGTGACGTCACGAGCCCCTACTCCCAAACTTTGACGCGCTATAACTTTGTCATTTTTTGGTTGATTGCCCAAAGAAAATATACCTGTCCATTATTTTTTGATCATCTAACTGACGGACTAAATAGAATTTCGTTTAATGTACCCCGTCATCACCCCTATTTAAAATTTAATATGAGTCTACTCTACCTGTTTTCTCTTGTGAGATTTAACTAGCTTATCAAGAAATGTTTTATATTAACACGCACATTGAGGGGCTCTGTGTGTTGCAATACATGATGACAATCCTAGTTATTAATAAATATCGTGTTATTGGTATTAAATATTTCATTAGTAAAGACCTGATTATTTGCAACATAAAACGCCCCAAACATACAAGAACAATAGGAAATAAATGCATGAAAGGCCAAAAAATTTAATATTAAGAAGGTCGTATTTTTATTTCAAAAAGCCATTGGCACTCAACGATTACAATAATTGTATTTGCGAAAATATCAAAATATACCCTAAAAGGTTGTGATTTTGATATAGGGGCCGTTCAAGTATTACGTAAGCAGATTTATTGCAATTATTTACCCCCTCCTCCCCCTTGTCAGCAAAAGTAAGCAAAGCTCTTACCCCTCCCCCCCATCCTTACGTAAACATTGGTACCTATATGCATTTTTCCTTTAATGTATTCTGTTATTTTTATTGTTTCTTAAGCTTTCATGAGCTCATGACCAGCAGTACTATATACTAATCACCATTCCTACCCCCCACCCCCCCAAGTCATCAAAAATAAGCAAAGCAGAGGTCCCCCTGCCCCCCTATAGTGCCTTCGTAATACTTGAACAGCCCCATACCTAGTCAGGTCATAAATTCTGTCATATGTTTATTATAAAATAATTGAAACAAGTTTATTCATTATGTAATCATTTATATACGGCTGCCTTAATCAAGGATGTCTTGAGTGACTCTAAATTGGGATGAGGCTTTGAGCACGCCTTTTCCTCCAAGTGTTGCCATATCTTGTAATCTAACGGACTCAAATCTGGACTGGAGGAGGGCCAGTCTTCGTGCCGGATGAAATCGATTTCACGCGCCGCCAGCCAGTCTTGTGTGCTCTTCGCTCTATGAGCTGGCGCCGAATCTTGTTGGAATACCCAGTGCCTGTTATTGAACATTGTATGAGAAACAGGTTCCACAAGGTTCGTCAGGACTGTATTTTGATACACAACTGCATTCGTTTTTACACCTTCCTCACAAAAATGTACCTGTTAAGCCCCAATAAGAAACTCCCAACCATACCATGAGCGAGGATGGAAAATGACCTCGTTGGACAGGCGGAATACGGTTGCTCGCTTCTTCACTACTGTGTGCGTACACCTTATCATTTTGTTTGTTTTAACTCTCTTCTACGGTAAAAAATTTTTATCCGAAAAAAGAATTTCCCGATATTTTTTTTCCCGCGTACCGCTTCGACAAAGCGCGGCATCTCTTCAGTCTCAGGTCCATTAGACGAGCATTCAAACGATGTCCTGTTTTTCTTCGATATGCCCGAAGCCCTAAGTCTTCATTTAACACCCTTTTCACCGTGGTTCTGCTTAACCCCATCTGAAGGGCCAACAGTTTCTGCTTACGTTCGGGATTTCTTTTAATTCGCGCCTTCACAGCTTTTATCACTGCTGGAGTCCTAACAGACCGAGGGTGACCACTTCTTGACCTGTCATCTACACTAGAGTCTTCATTGTATCGTCTGATGGTACGATAAACGTTGGTTGGTTATATTCAAAATTTTCAGCATGTCAAAAATTTGAATTGGCGCGTAACCGCAACGATGCAACGCAATAACTGCAACACGGTCTTCTTTAAGCGTCCACTCCATATTAAAAAATGAGTAAAATTCTAAAAAAGTATACGTTTTCATTTTCATGAACAATTCGAAATTCGAATTCAATAAACTTTTTTGTGGCCAGCATTCTAAAAGAAAAGTTTTTACTGTGTGACAATACTTATGACCTGACTGTGTATATATGTCATTGAGATTTATTGGACCTGGAATAATGTGTACCACTAAGTACTGTTCTATATGTTCTAAACAGAACAAGATGGCTGAGTCCGCCAGCCGTGTGCCCGTGATCGGATATCGCTTGTGTCGCTATGTGATACTTCTGAAGTATAAACGAGACAATTAAAAAAATGCTAAAATATGCAAGTGCCCCTAAAAAGGGGTTAAATAAAATATGCAATATGGATGATGACTATTTTTTTTACTACGTCTGTCAGGTATATTATCATATTGGACACTTCGTTTTTTACGTATTCAAAATATTACAGAGGTATTTGAATTTTTAAACTTGGCAATGTCGCATGACGTCACGTCTGGGTACAATTTTTACTTAGCAGTGACGTCACGAGCCCCCACTTCCAAAGTTTGACAGGCTTTTTGCAATTTTTTGGTAAATTGATAAAAGAAAAAATTAATTGTCTATCATTTTTTGATAATGTAACTGAGGGACTAAGTAGAATTTCATTTACGTTACCCCGTCATCAACCCTACTGCGCATATGCGATATGTATTAATATATAGCGTGTTTTAATTATGCTCTCTATTGTCAATTTACTGTGGACTTTGACAGACGCGATAAAAACGTGATATATAATGTATTGGGTGCTCATGCTACAGGGATTGAATAACAGAAGTTACCATTTTTTTTTCTAGAATCTGTGCGCACTACAGATCACCTTCTTGGCACTATGGATAGATACTACCATAAAGTGAATCTGAAAACCAGCTCAGCAATGCAGATATACTTCATCGACTGCTTCGCGCGTTATTCTATAACATGATTAAAAGAGTTTTAAGAGCATACCGATATTCTTCCATTTTCTAAAAACCAAAATACAAAGTTTAAATTTATATTTTTACGTTAACTTCATTCCAATTGTGATAATGATACAATACATATTCCCTTTTCCAAAACATCATAGTTTATTATATTTTTATTTTAAGTATTGAACTGCTACATGTAAACCTGACATCATAGTAAACCGTATCTAAAAGAGTAATTCAACTCCTAATTTCTTATTACAGATTGTTCGACGTGGGTGGACAGCGGTCCGAGAGAAAGAAATGGATCCACTGCTTCGAGGATGTGACCGCGATCATATTCTGCGTCGCCATGTCTGAGTACGACCAGGTGTTGCACGAGGACGAGACAACGGTGAGTTTCTTTATATTGTAGCCTCAAAATAACCACTGTTTTATAAAGTTATAAGGGTGGCAAATGAGGCCGGCGTAATGGTAATCGGCCACTATACCCTATAGTATAGACGCTTGCTATACAAAAAATATCACTTGCACCGTTGTCTTCCCTGTCCCAATCCCCTATTCGATGGAGCTCTGGAACTTTACTCACCGACAGAAGCACAACACCACCAAAAGGTAGAGTTACTTCAGGGTATGGATAGAAGTATATATCCGCATATTTACATAAGTAAGTAAGTAAGTAATAGACTTAATGATAAATCGATAAGCGTATTTTTGTGGAAATATATATGAACAGATATGACTGCACAAATGATCGTATTCATCACACAGACATATACCACACCAGGATTCGGACCCAAGACCTGAGAGTGTTTGGTACTTGATAACCAGCGCCCATACCACCACAGTGATTGCCAAAGTTTTTACCTACTTTTCCAGAAAACAGTTCGAGATAGAAAAGAAAAAAAATATTCATAAAGATAGCTACACTGATATGGCTGGTCTATGATGAAAAAAATATTACACACGCTGGCATGCTAACGAGATTGGCGCCAGCTACTGTATCAATGTATTATCATCTGCCATAAAGGTGCTCCTCTCACTTGGAATATTCGCGTGCAATGTAACCGTCTTATATTCAGTTTAGAGTATTTGCTTTATACATTGTAATGCAGCCTTACTGACTTCGCCTGGACGTGGTAATAACTACACACATCTATCTACACATTCTCATCTTCTCTCATTCCATATAATGTATTATGGCAATATAAAAAGTGCATTGTGAATTTCCTCTCAGATTTGAAGCACCCGCACCGTACCTTCACCTTCCCCTCACCAAAGCCTACAGTAAAACGACACTACATTTGCTAGTTTTGTGACTCGTTCATTTCGACTCCCAAGGGGCAGCGGATTGGATTTTGCGCTAACAATATGAGGATGGCTTGAGCGACATACTTTTCTGCCACATCAACTAGAATAGGAGGCCCAAACAGGGGTTTTGGGATTACTCGATACAGATGCAGAGGGGGACAACTTTGCACCTTGTGAAGTACTCCCACCATACCTTGAGCCCCATTATGTAAGGCCGAACATATAGGGCAGCAAAAACAAAAATTCAAAAATGTATTGCAATTTTCAAAGTGTGATGGAAAGGCAGTGTTAGGAGATGAAATCAGACAATTTGCCTCTTGATTTTGAAAAAATATTGTTATTTGTTTGTGCATAATTTTTAGTTTTAGAGACGTAACGACTCGACTTTTCAAACCGGTTTATCGTGGCATTCGTTTGCAATGCGCTGCGCGCATGTCAATTCTTGTTTATGCCGCCATCCACAAATCGCGCGCGGCTCCTGACGTGCTTTACCGACCGAACAAAATTGACCGACCAATACACACCGACTTACAGCAGCGGATACGTTTAGCGCAACAGCCATAACCGACTTACCGACCGAACCGAAGTGAAACGGACTCTGGTAGATTTGACGGTGTAGTTTTGTTTTCATTATTATGTAATATGCGACGTAATCGCCAAGCTTCTAAAAAAGTAGACCAAATATTATTCCTAAATAGTTTATATATATTTTTTAGTATTTTTTTAAACACGGTATTACATAGATATCTGTTTTAATTGATATTTTTTTATTTTGACATTTTTAATTCTGATTTTTCACTTACCTTTAACCGTAATATCAACAAAATATGTAGAATAAAAAAAAATTAACACCCGTTGTTTCATAAGTTTCATTCGTCAACTCGTCAAACGGTTCAAACCGGTTCAAATCGCGGTTTACTGAAAATTTGGCGGTTCGGTTCGAAAACCGATTTGCATGTATTGCTAACCGATCAAATCCGGTTTGTCAAAATAAAAGACCGTAACATCGCTATTTAGTTTATCTTATGTTGAATCCGATTGTTTCGGTTGCAGAACCGTATGCAGGAGAGTCTAAAGCTGTTCGACTCGATCTGCAACAACAAGTGGTTCACGGACACCAGCATCATCCTGTTCCTCAACAAGAAGGATCTTTTTGAGGAGAAGATACGCAAATCTCCGCTCACCATCTGTTTTCCTGAATACACGGGTAAGCACTATTTATGTCTTAAACTTAAACCCCTTACTACAAAACGCGGACTAAATTTAACCTTCATTTTATCCTAATATTGTATCTGTCTTCTGTTTTAGCAAACGAAAAGTGACAGCATCACTTCACTCACTTCATTTTCGTTCAGATTTAAATTTAGTCTTCGTTTCGTAATAAGGCGGTAAAAGACCCTCAAAGGTACATTTTATATGTATTTATTTACACAGCATTTGTTAAAATATTATAAACATATTTCGAATCTGTTGTAGGTTTCCTCCATACCAATTAAATATACTTATTATCTTTTTATTAAATTTAGACCCAAACTGCATAAAGCTTGTGGTCTCTATCAAAGTCATTTAGTTAACTAAACATTACATAACTACACATAGAGAGATAAAAGTCTCCTGGTGAGTATAGTATCGTAGATTTATGACGTTCAGAAGAGCTTGTAAAGCAGCCCATGACTGACTAAACGAATTTGATTCTTGCACCCTAAGATATATGGCCTCTGTAACATAGAGTGGGCATAGCATTTACCCGGATAGCAAAAGACCCTGGTTCGAATCCAGCCATAAATATATTTAGATGTGTTGTTGTTTAACCATTGACATATAAAATCAAGAAGACTCCCAATCGCCTAACAAAAGTGCATCAAAAAGCTTACAGGCGGCGTTGTACATAATATTATACATCAACATATTATACTAATATTGGTAACACACTTGTTCAAATTAACACTTCATGTCGTGGCAGTAATGTTTATTTAATGTCAATTGTATAAGAGAGGGAGAGAATTTTTATCAATAAGTATTAAATAAAATATCGATAGTTGCGTAATTTTGTAACTTTAAAGGGCGTATCTGCTGTCATTTGCACAGTTGCTAATCCGATACTTTGTCATTGCGTGGCGTTGTAATCAAAGCATGGTCGAAACACGACGATGGAAAACTGCACAAAAGTCGCTTGTGTAGATTTTTGCTTCCTTCCTCGTGGTGAAGAAAAAACTTTTTGGCCGTGATTGTGAGTCTACTTGTTTTATACGTCAATGTGCAGATCGCGGAAATAAAAAATATAACGAAAAAAAATACGAGTGTATAATTGAAAGTTTGAAGAGCTCGATTGCGCAAGTGGTTAGCGCGTTCTGCTAGCGGCTGCGGTTGTAGAAGTTAAGCTTTTTTCGCACTCGTCGGTCATTGGATGGGTGATCAAAATTTACTGTCTCGAGCTCCACCGTGCTTCGGTAGGCAAGTTAAGCCGTTGGTCCCGCCTGCACCAAGCGCATTGGTGCAGCGCAATCTCCCTATTCCATCCATAGGGAAAGCTTGTGCCCCAGCCCAGCAATGGGAGACATTAAATAAATAAATATTTTCAATATACACCAATTAGCTAGCCCCAAAGTAAGCACTATAAGGCTTGTGTTATGGGATACTAGGGTAACCGATAGAATACATATATAAGTATGTTTATATAGAAATACGTATTAAACCTCCATGACTGGAGTACAAATGCTGGTATTCATCACACAAACATCTGCCCCCACCGGGATTCGAACCCGGGGACCTCTCGAGTCGGCGACACCATGAAACCCGGCGTACAAACCACTCAGCCACGGAGGTCGTCATTAATAGGCTGACGATGATGTATGATTAAAAAATGGTTATCTCAGGCGCACAAGAGTACGGCGAGGCGGCCGCATACATCCAGGCGCAGTTCGAAGCCAAGAACAAATCCACCACCAAGGAGATATACTGCCACATGACATGCGCCACCGACACCAACAACATACAGTTCGTGTTCGACGCCGTCACCGACGTCATCATCGCCAACAACCTGCGCGGCTGCGGCCTCTACTAAAACCCGTCAATAAACCACACTTTACCCTCACTTACCCTACCTTACCCTTACTTACCTTTTACACTACCCCAACAGCGCCGGCCCTGGAGTAGAGCGAGCAAAGAAAATGGTCGCTTTAAGCCGAATTTAAACAACTTTTAATCGGACAAGAGTTTTCTAATTTTCATGAAATAATCTTACTTCCCAGTGGTGAAGAAAAATTACATAAAATAAATGCGTCGACCAAAACGCACAGAAAGACAAAATTTTGTTTAGAACATTTACGTGAAATAAAAGAAATTACGCTCTCGTCAAGGGCTTTGGCCGGTGCTGATAACCTTGCAATATACAATAGACCCGCTCGCGAGTGGCCTCATCTCGTGTTCTTTTGCAGATACGAATTGGTAGTGTTCGAATATTAACATCGTCTCGGTCCCTCTATATGCATTTCACTGTTTGGTGGGAACTTTGCGGCACTGTGTATGTAGGGACTGTAATGTACGAGGTTTGGAAGTAAATGAAATAAATCTAGCAACAGCTGAACTCCTCACACCCTTGACGCTCAGATAACCTTCTAAGAAAGGGATAAACACAGTGCGAAGCTATTCATTCTGTGAATTTCAACGGCCTTGTGCAAAATCTAGTGCCGCTATCGAAATTTGAGTTAGAGACAGATTGAGACGACAATATTTTTGAATAACTAACAAAATTCCGTACTAGGCGCGCAGTCTACCGAATATAAGGCGTCCGTTTTGCGATAAATAATATCATAAATAATCTTGCTTCGATTATGTTGATCGATAAAGATTAACAACTGAAATTGGGATTGTTGGAATACGACTTTCTGTTTCAATTTACTTAAGTTTGTGTGACCATCTGATTGGCGCTTGAGACTTCCAAAAACTCGATCGCGTTTACGTAACAGACATCGGCTGAAAGTACTCCGTATAGAAAGCCATAAAAATAACTAATAAATATACTGACGATTTGAGAACCTCCTCCTTTTTGAAGTCGGTTAATAAGTAACACATTGCCGTTTCCAACAGATGGCTTTTATTATGTAAATTTCGTACAATATAACTTTTACGTTAACGCGATTGTGTAAGTTAAGGACAATCGGTTAGTTCTCCACTGCGTTCTATCCTCGAGTTGACATGTCGATTGTTTACCGCTGTCATCATGAGAGGGCGCTGTCTTCACGTATAGGAGAATAACCTAACCTAACCCTGTCAGCACGTTAATATAATGCCAGTACTTCACATGGCAATTCATATTTGCTATTTGTCACGTTGACAGCAGGATGTCCTTATCATGTTCTATAGGGAATGAAAAAATGAGACTATTGTCAGGTTTACAAATAGCAAATAGCCACTTGAAGAGCCGGCATGACGAAAACAGATAATTGCAGTTGTTGCCATAAACGGATTTTAGACACAGAAAATTTTGTAGCGACCGAGTCAATTGCGCGTAACATAATGCGAGATAAATCTTGACTGTCATTCATACACAAAGAATGCTTGAAAGCGACATTTCTGCTATTCATATGTCCAAGGTGAAATCACGGAAGTGTGTTAGAGGACGCACAAGATGTTGATTCTTAAATTTTTTACAGGCTTTTTTATCAAATCAAACTTTTACTGGTAAAAATGGACTCTATATCGTCCAACCGCCGTTGTTACTCACCCCGAAGGCTCGATTTTTACCGCTAAATCAGATTTTTTATTGTAAAGCTCAATTTCACTGTAGCAGCTTGTTATTGCGATTCTTTGCTAACCGGAAAACGGTGTGTTTCTAAAATTAACGGCTCGTTATGGTTGGCGGTTAAAAAGGCGAGTCGATAGGGTTTCATCCTAAGCATATCACGAGTGATGGCCGAGGATGGGAGCGCGGTATAGTCACCATCACTATGTATCAAAAGTGAAAGTCTAAAGACAAAAGTTGAATTTCTTCACCCGGACACGCCGTCACTCCGCCCATTCTGCAGTCCGCTATTCCGCAATTCCGCATTCCGCGCGTTCGCACCGCACTTTCTTTCCCTGTAATATAAACCGTACGTTATTTTCTGTTTAATTAGACCGCCGCTGCTGACGACTAGAACAGTTTTCACGACGAATGTGTACTAGTGATCTAGTGTTCGATTCTAAATTTTGGTGCTAGGGTGTTAGTATTCGGTCGGTGCGAGTCAGTGCGATCGAATGCGAGCAAGAGCGAGACGCGGCTATGTGTGCGAGCGAGAAGCGATGTCCACTCGGTGTCACTCAACTCCGCTCCGGTAAAAAAAAACTTGCTTATATACTCACTCTCTTACGGACCAATAACAGAATGGAACCAATATTTAGTACTGAAATACACGGTAGTTGAGATGCATTGAATATGTTCGCAGGCCTACTTAAACTGATATGTACTACAAAAACATCATTCCATTATTAAGTATATCGCTTACGATGATGAGATGTTATTTTTTTATAAACTTTTGAATGCACAACTGTGACCGCTATATTGAATTTGAGATGGTAGTGTTTATTTTTTAATGTACGTACACCTTGAATCATTTATTAAGCTAAGGCCCGTCTCGACCTCGATTGAAATGTTACTATTATTAATTTTAATTTAAGACAATCGCGTATTTATGCACAAATTATTTACCCCTGTAAGAGCATTGATTATGTTGTTATGCCATATTGTATACTGAATTTTGAATATTTCTTGTGTTAATATTTTTTCTATATCACTTTACAGTTAACCTTTAGGTGTAGCCATATAAGATCTATTCTTGTATTCAAATATGAAAAATCATGTAACATATTTATTTTATCTAGCATATAATATGTTTGTATTAAAGGGAGGTATAATGTAAACGTATCATGTTTAGTTCGGTATTTAAGTGATTAACCAATGTTTATGTCATGTTAATCTTATTTTGTGAAGGTGCGTGGCGTCTCAGTGTAAGGTTTGTGAGTATCGCAAGCGGCGGTCGCGCGCGACCTTGTAAGCTATGTGAGTATATAAACTTTGTATACACTCGCGATTTGGCGTAATCAAACACTATACATATATATACTATATAACATAATTTATTATTAATAATAATAATAAAATAAAAAAATCTTACTTTTAAGCATTAGGGCAGTAACTGTATCAATAAACATTAATTAATAATGCAATTAGGACAGTAAAACCTTTACTATCGTCATAGTTAGGTGATTTTATTTTCATTTTACGTTTATGAAGTATGTAAAAAGTGATTAAATGAAAATGTAACGCCTACACTGTGACCGCGCGGGCCCCTCGCCGGGCGTCCGGCACGGCGGCGCCGGATCCGCGGACTCGACGACGGCCGGACTACGTCCACCGTACACCGTACACCGTACCTATATAACGTACGTTCAGGTTACAGAAGGGGCGCTGCTCAATGTACGCCCGCGGGGGCCCGCGCCCGAGCGCGGCTCGCTTGTTGCTAGGTAGGTTTTTTACTGTTATGTAACAATATGTGTACGTAAAACTAATAAAAATAATATTAGCGCAGTTCTACATTCGACCCGAAAACCTACATTTAAGTAAGCTTCACACTACATTAAAATAAATGGTTTTTGAAACGTGTGAACGAATGAATGGTGGTGGATGTGAATTTAATCATTCGAATGTCTGTCTGTCGGTTTATTGGCTCCATCCGTGCGGCGGGTTCGATGCGTGGTAGTCTCGTGTGATATGCTTACTGCTGCATTATTGGTGACACGTCTAGGCTCGGTACTTAGTCAGATGTGATGAGGGGTCATCGACCCAGCCCCAGTGCTTGGACAGATGTGATGAGAGGTGGTCGACCCCGCCACGCCCCCGCCGAGCCGATGCAGCGCGTGTGAGTCGGCGTCGTCAGTTTTGCATTTCGATGTGTTCCTCCGCCGCTGAATATAACTTGTATGCTTTATAATATATTTCGAGTGAATGTGATGTAAATTTTGTACACTGCCGCATTCTTTATTCGCTCGAATCACATTTAGTTTAAGTATTAGATTTGAGACAGTGATCGATCCGCACAATCATAATGCATACGTGTCTGGAGCTCAAAGCAAGCGGCCACTGGTCCGCCTCACCGCGTCACGTGCGTGCTCTGTGCGTTGGCTTCTTATTTGAAGACTGAATTGTTGCGGCTCAAACGTTCTCGCGCTTTATTAGATCCACGACGGGGGATGTTTAATGAGAAGTTTTTTTAAGGATTAGCGTTAGTTGTCGGGTCATCATAATAGACGTCTTCATAATTATCATGTGGCAAGTGCGAACACCCGACACGCCGTCGAAGAGAGAATTGAGCGACGTTCGGTTAATAATTTTAATGATACGCAGAATCTTTGTCACAATGTTGTCGATCTAAAACGATATCACCGTGCTTCATTCATATTTGCCAAAGTTAATACTAACCTCACTATTTATACTGTATGTTCTTGATAACTTAATTATGTGTGAGACTCGCGATTAGGGCGGAGGCGCAGTGGCGTCAGCGCGGTCCCGGCGTCGAATAATCTTATTCGTACCGATCAGAGTACAATGTTGAAAAAATATCTTATTTAGAATTGATGACATGTAAACATTTATTTCTAGCGCGTGCGAGGGTGGGCTCGGTGGGCTGCGGGGCGCGGCGAGCCCAGTCCGGCGTCCTAGTACTAATCGTTAGACACGTTTCTACTGTAGTGTTGTTGGCATTATATTGTGACTCGCGATCGCCACACGTCTCGCCACATGACCCGCCGAGCGACACCCTCTATTGAACAAACGTTTAAGAAAGTAAATTTTTAGTCACTAGTGGGTAATTTTTGAATGTGATTCAATCTTATCTTTATTTTTCTATATCGAGTGACATTTTTATCTATGATTTCTCTAAGTTTCAACTTGTTTTGTATTGCATTTACTGAAAGCGATGTATTTAACCAACGATGTAATTAAACAACAATATTTTCCTCTTTTTGTATCTCGTCTGCACTGGTATTTTTTTATTGAATTTACTATAAATGTACTTTAAGTGTATAATTTTAAAATAATTACTGAAAATGATTATATTCTAATTTTTATGTTCAAATATTTACGTTAGTTTTATTTCTGCCCTTGACGATTCCTTCCCTTAATGATATTAGCGTAGCAATATTTATATACGTAAAGGGCGCATCCTTTATTCGATCTTATTAAAATTCTTCCTAGTATTTTCTCACCTGTAGTGGCAAACATAACCCGACAAGAGCGTTGCTCTTAAAACCATAGAGAGGAGAGGTGGCAAACAGTAGAGACAACGGAGAACAACTGCTTGAAGCCCTTATGACAACGTCATTTGGTTGCACTTGGTCGGATTCGTAAAAGGACAGATTCTCATTTCGCCGAATCCACTACAGTAATATAGAGAAATTCATATTAGTAATAAAAGATTTATTATTTCAGTTTAAAAAATACTTATACCCCTTATTAATAAATGAAGATTAAGTTTTGATCAGTTACTCCATGTTTTGTCTCTGTTCATTGAATGACAAATGGCATTTGAGTGATATGAACAAAACACGGCGTTACTAGAAGCTAATTCCTCGTTTATTAATTAGGGGGTTAATGTTTTACTTGTTATTAAGAAAAATAGCCTAAGGCAAATGCTATAGAAGGTTGGCATCACTGACTTCATACAAGAATTCCGAAAAAAAGTCGTACAAGTGAGGGCCAAACAGACGAACAATGTAATAGTATGTTATATTGTTCGTCTTTCTATCGACATCTGGCGTGATTCTCTAAATTTAAATTTACATTTAACATCAGTATCTACGTTTTATCCTGTATAGAGAATGACAAGGATACACTGTTGTCGAATTTAAGTTTAGCTTTAGAGAATCATTTCAGAATTGACACCATTGTGTATTGAAAATATGATGATTGATAAGTTTTTTCCAATGTAAGGTTGATTATTTTTTTTCAGTATTTTTAAATCTATAGCAGAAAAGGCTTAGGGATTTACTCGTTAGCGTCTTTCTCTGGGGTCTCTCTCCCGATCCATTCGTCCAGAGTGGCAAAAAGCAGGAGCGACAAACTTGACTTATACCCGCCCTAAACACTACGAGAAATCGTTACGATCAGACTGTACAGTTCGAACGGAACAGTTTATACGATTTCGTTTAGTATAGGAAACTGTGCAGTTTTATAACATACACGCTACGATTTAACGGTACCGTTAGGACTGTACAGTCTAATCGTAACGTATTCTCGTAGTGTGTATGGCCGGTATTAGGGGTGAGGTAATCCATAAAGTACGTCACACATCAAGTGGGAGGGAAGGTGTCAGTTATCACATGTCATTTGGCCGTACTTTAGTTTGAGGACGGCAGTATAGATGACCCTTATTCCTATCTTTCAACCTAGCCGTTCAGTATCCACCAACCACCCGAATTGACAAGTTGGATGTATTAAAATGTGATTAGAATCTTATGTGCCACCTTGAAAAAGTTGTACTTAAGGTTTGATAGTGGGAAAAATATATATTTATGTATGTAGTCTTTGATAGGTATATCTACAAGTAAGAACTTAGTGCACATCTCTACACCCGCTTACTTTTTTCTCTCACTAAACCTTGGTTAGCTGGAAGAGAGCTCTCTTAGAGATAAGCCCTCCTTTGCCCACATATTTATGTTTTGTATCTTACAATTTTTGTGTGCAATATAGAGTATTATATATAATTTAGTATATTATCTGAATTAGACGAGAATACTGTTAGAGGAAACCCTGGAGGAAATAGAAATGATAGTCTATGTACGAGGATAAAACTAAAGCCTAACATACCTTGACCTCTTATTACAGTATTGTGATGGGGGATTTTAACTCAAAACTAGGCGAGCGAGACGGTTCCAAGTTGACAGTGGGCAAATTTAGTAATGTGCAGCGAAGCAAAAGGGGCTAAATACTTTCCTGTCTCACGCTTACCCGCTTACGCTGTCCCGTACAAGAGCATCTCGAAGCCGACCTACGGCCAGTGTGGGCACTTAGTAGGCTTGTTGAAAATATATCGATATATCGATATTTTTTATTCGATATATCGATATTTTTTGCCGATATATTTTGATTCGATATATCGATACATCGATACAAAATAACCAATATCGAAATTCGTATCAAAAAGGATATTTTTTTAATTATCGCGGCATATCACGATCTAACTAAATTCGTTTCTGGAAAAATCGTAACTGGATCTCAGATTAATGATATTCAACATATCTATGATCTGTGCTGTATTTAGTATTGTCTATTATTTGTAAATCTGTTTCGCTGGTGAATTGGTTGTGCTGATTTCCATAATATATTCTGTGGAAGTGTGTAAATCTCTAGTCTTGTTTACGAAAGATGGCACCTGAGAGGCCCTGCAATCATTTTCATCATTCGAAAATAGGGTCTATTTTCTATTATTCCCCGTGTCATAAATATATTTTTGGAAAAATTGGTCCGGTATATCGATATATCGATATTTTTTTCGCGATATATCGAAGCCGATATTGATATTTTTTAAAATATCGATGTATCGATATATCGATATTTTTTTCAACTTTCGACATCCCTAGCACTTAGATATAAGAACACCACTCACACATTAAGTCACATCCACTTTTGCCTAAACAATTTTCTTTAACTTGAACAACATAGGAAAAAAAAAATACCTCACGCTCATTTTCTTTAATATTGTTATTACCAATGCAAAAGAAAACAAAGAGCGCGAGGCATTTGAAAACCCCAGGCGGCTAGAAATAACAAAATAAAATCGAAAGCGTCAGCGTTTTATAAAGCATTTCCGTTAGGCAAATGGCCCCCTGGTCTTTCGTGTTAAATGTATTCCGGCGAAATGAGAATCCGTCCTTTTACGATTCCGACCAAGTGCGAACAAAACGACAACGTCGAACCACATAGAGCTTATTTTACACCACGCATTTTGTGTCGTGTGTTGTTTTTTATTTTCCATCTTGCCTTACCTTCATTTTGATTCATAAAATTTCTACGTACTATTTACATCACACAGAAGTTACGTGCAAAAGATTCTAGTTATGAAAAACAAGCTCAAAATACGCTGTGTGAATTCGACAGCTTTTCCGTGGGTGCCGCTCACCTACCCAGTCATTGTAAGGTGAGGTCAAATAAAGATCAACTCATTTTGCGATCTTAGGCATAATGCGATGTAGTCAATTAATGATCTAGAAGGAATTATTTGTAGTCATTTTGCGATGTAGTCATTAATAGAGGTAAATCACACTGCGACTAGACAATCTGAGATCAACCCCGTGTGACAACAGAACACTTTCAGAATTACCACAAATAAATTTAGAACAATAAGTTATAAATAATAATATACTTTGCTTGAGAATTTAATGATTCATCCTTTAATAGACCGATTCGTAGTTATTTCTCTTTGTAATTTTTTAGACTGGTATGTTGCAAGACTGAGACAAATGGCCTCTGTTGTGGCCTCTGTTGTGTCTACTTCACTGTGCCCGGGTTGGGCTTGAAGACAGAAACATATTAGAGACATATTTACATGTCGTGTCGATTCTCGCATGATACTTAAAACTTAACTCCAATCTCTCCTTTTCTTTCTGTCTATACAAAGACAAGGGTACATTGGTGTCGAATCTCTAAACTTAAAACTAAATTTAACGTTAGTCTCTCCTTAACATTTTGTATAGAAAATGACAAGGATAGGGTTAGAAAATCATTCCAGAATAAACTCCATTATCATAGTTCATAGTCTGTGACTGTATGGTTTTTTTTTGTTTTTTGGCGGTATTATTTGCGGCGGTTGGCGTCTTATTATAATTATTCTTAAATTCGTTCATAGTGGATATTGTGAAATAAAATTGGTGATTTTGTTTTACAACCGTCTGCACAACTGAAGAATTAGTGGAATCTATAAAATATACGCTAATCCGGTCAAATGGACGTGAGAACTTTATTGTAGTGTTAACTACTTCACAGGAGCACATCGAGAAAGCGAACTCGATATATTTCGCGCCAAGCACTCCAAGATAATTGGAGTGCTTGGCGACAACATTAGAATGCGTCACACCGGCATTCTAATGTAAAAAAAAGGAATTTATTATAACTAAAGACTAGGCTGTATGGGCATTGTTGTCTTTGCCTACCCTAAAAGGGAGAATCTTAAAAAAGTCTGTGATTGTTTTGTTTGATTTAAAAAAGAAGAATATCTAGTCTATGGTTAACCTGGAGACTTCAGTTCTAAAATTACTACAATTATTAAGTATTTATTAATTTCGTTTGTCGCTATCAATAAAAAGATATAACAAAGAAAAATGAAGGATGTTATAGATGTAATGGCCTTACAAAGCAATAGACGTGAGAAAAGATTACCAGACTACAGAAGTGCACCCGGACATAGTTTAGCCACAAATTTCATATTCGAATGTGGCATCAAACTTAACTTGCAGCCAGCTACTGTTGCAACTGCAGCTGTGTTTTACCATAAGTTTTTCAAAGAAGCCGATAAAAATGACTACGACTGTTATGTGATCTGCACAGCTTGTCTTTGTGCCGCTGGAAAGTCGAGGGACGAACCGGTTAAATTAAGGGACGCTGTCAACGTAGCCCACAACTCGATCAATCGGGGCGCTGGACCTTTGGAGTTGGGTGATGAATATTGGTCCTGGCGCGGAGCTGTAGCGCAGGCTGAGCTGCTCGTGCTCAGGTTATTGGGATTCAACTTAGACGCTCCATCCCCTCACCGATATTTACTACACTATCTTCGTTCGCTACAAGAATGGTTTCCGCCCTCACAGTGGCGTACAGCGCCCATAGCCAGAACAGCAATGGCTTTTCTACAAGATTTTCACCATTCTCCCAACATTCTGGACTATAGAGCACCTCATGTAGCAGTTGCTTGTCTAACCCTCGCTCTACACGTTCTAGGCGTCTCGGTTCCTTTAGCCTCTACGCTAGACGATGATGCTGCCTGGTACTCGGTAAGTAATATTGTGTTTAAATAAAATTTGAAAACATAAAGCATGTGCACTGTCAACCCGTTTCAATTTTATCTTTTTTAAAGCTTAAGACAAAAAATGTGATTGGCATTTAAATCAAGAATAGTGATTAAAAGAAATGAAATAGCAGAAAAGGAAGATATTTGGTTTAACCCTTTTTGCATGCACAGTACATACTTGCGGTATCTATGTCTGTGGGTTTTATCTTTTAAGATACTTGTTATTGTATTCTACATTTTTTTTTGTAGGTGTTCACAAAAGACTTGCAAAAAGAGAAGAATTGGGAGATAATGGAGAAGATTATGCAGGTGTATGGTAGGGAACCAGAACCAATATAAAGTAGTTAACTCATTTAGGTATAAGGTTTGGAATAAATGCATTAAAATAATTTGAATAAGTTTTTTTGTTTTCTTATCTCACTAAACAGTCTTTTTCGTTTATTGAGAGATTGCCTAAAACTACTAGTAAATATGGCAGAGAAGTTTGATTGGTCAATAGTTACTAGTATTTTGACAATTATTGATTAATATGGCACATAGGGACCTCTTAAGGTTAAAATATCTTCAAGGATGCCATTTGACTATGCATAGTTATGTTTAGATAAAAACTAAATTGAATCCCTTTACACATTTATAATCAGTCTAACATCAAATTCAGTTCGACCCCATTTGCCATTGCATGACAGAATCCAAAACACACTAGCTTTATCACCCACAAAGATATTCTGTAACATGTGATTCCACCATCTGCTGTTTTAGTCATACTTATCTAATACAGGGCTACAATGTCCAGGACATCTTCAGTATTGTCAGGTATGCTTAGCCCTTGGCCAAATCTCCATTACCTATATTGGTCCATGACTCTATACTGTGTAGCTCAATAAAACTATCAAAAAATTGTGTTCTTTCCATTGTGGCCTTGTGAAATCTGGAGTTTCCAGACATCCCTGTCTATATCTATATCTGCTATACTTCCTTAAAATATTCTAGTTTACTTCACAGAGATTCTAGGTCAGCCTCTATAAAATAGTCCAAAAGTATGGTTGTCGCATGCATATCTCAAACTAATTTATTGATTGAATGGATTTGGATGATTTTTTTAACATACTTTATCCAGTAAAATAGTAGATGCATAAAGGTATGTACGGATTAAATGTAGCTCTGGCTGAGGCATGCACTGCTTGCGCTGTTGCCTCAAGTACATACTTTGTACCTCGACTCAAGCCATCAGTGTGGTTTTTAGACTGTACTCAAAGGCGCCTAGGCATACGTGCCTTCCAAGTGTGGACGTGATTTGAGCATGGTAATGAATAGAATAGAAGAATGAAGTTTGAATAGAATTTTTACCCACCAACGTGGAAGTTTTTTTTTCATTTTAATCAGATTATGTATTACAACCCAGCAACTGCACAGATTTTGTTCGACACCATGGTTTGTCATTCGTGATCAGGTGCAAAATGGTAAAATGGTCAACTCATGTTGTTTTAATTATTGACAGAGTCATCATCCACACTAGCCGTTTGTTACAAGGCTTTTCTTATCCGTACGCACCTTTACACGTAGGCAAATTTTGTACATGATTGAAAAGATATGGATTAATACATGTGGGTAGCATAAACAACTTTGAATGAGTGCTTAGAAACTTTATTATAGGAAGAGTACTTGGCTTACTATATCTAGCTTGGCGAGTTCTAGCAGAGGAATTAATAATTTAACTAAAACGAAAACGGGATAAAATAAACACGGATTAGATCTACAAACAAATATAATTCAGTTTCTAACATTTTACGATACATTTTTTTTATAAATGTACAGGGTAAGCTCATGATGTGAAAAAAGCGGTACTAGTTTTCAACTGGCTACCGGATGTACATGATGTTGGTGCAATTAAATATAATATTTAGGAGACGGCGGCGAGGGCCACGCTGATATGCTTAGTCTCATGAAACCGGTATGTATGATAACTTATATCTAACGTGAATGTGAAAACTGGAGCATGTTCCGATCCAATGTGCTGTCACAGGTTACAAATCTACGATAGACACCAATGACTAGTATAATTTATAAAAATTTACGCTAACTTTAAGCGTATTCCATTTAAATTTTACATCATTTATGCCAGAGGATGCTTCAGTTCAGCTCTAGATATGGCTCGAGGAGCGAACAGCTGACAGATTTCTGTGCGTCCCATGGAAGACAACAGAATTGAAAATTCCTATCGAGTCATGCTTCTAAACATTTGTGCTTTCATTAACATCTTAGTTATATTGTAATTTATTATTATTACCTATAGAGAACTGAATATACATGAGTGTGACAGTTTATGATTCCTATTTTACCGACGGGTGTGATAAGAATGCAAAGTTTCTTAAACATCAGTACATAGCGAAATATGTATGTCTTATACTATGAATTTCATTAAAATCTATATAAATAAATTCACACAGACAAAATTTAACACGTGATATTGATGTAAACGACACAGATATATGACAGTAATTATTGCACATACTATTTTAACAACTACTGGGTTCGAAACACCGGGGACACACAGACACGCGGGGCGGACTCGGAGCATCCCACCTGTATACAATGTAACAACAATGTTATACACGGAATATCAAATTCTATGTGGATCATACAACTGGAAATCTACAAACATACAAGCGAGTCACCGCAGCGGTGAACGTCGCCAAGTATTACGTACGTACACAATTAACTATAACGGGTAATTCATTACAATTCAAATCACCAAGACCTTTAAAAACACCATTCTAAATAATAAAAAATACTTCTCGGTAAACTAAATGACCCAAAAAAATCAAAACGAAAAATAAATAACATTAATAATAATATTTTATTTTCATTATTATGGAAAATAACAAGAGTTATGGTCAATTGTTATATCCATTTCTTTTTGTTGTACTAAATACACATACCTCACAACACATTTCACAATTCACAAATAGAGAAGGCAGTTAAGTAGAAAGATATAACACGAGATTAATATTAAGTTGTTTGTTAGTGAAGGTTCTAAATGTTTCCTGTTGATGGTTTTGTATGAAATAGGCACTTGAAGTGAAAATCGTCTTTGCAAAACGATGCGAGTATATTAAAAATAAAGCTCGATTTAGTAACAAAAATAGACATTGTTAATATTTGAACCAGCAATGAAGGAATGTTCTAGCTACATCAACCGAACGAAATCATATAATTATTAATTAAAATCTAAAAGGGGCAGTGAAGCAGTTACCTAATAAATAAACGTTAAAACCTGCGGCGGGTATCGTGGTAGCTCATTGGATATTTGGAAACATTGTTTACACATAACAAGGGAACGAAAAAAGGAACATTCAACGTACCATTAAAATTAAGCGACCAAAATCTTCTATGGCTGACAAAATAAATTTGTACACGTTTGTACATGGCGTCAAACACGTAACTCCTCACCCCTCAGGATTTGACTATATAATATTATATTCCAATGAATTTACCTAATCTAAATATATTTTAAATTACAATAAGAAAATGACAAAACTAACTACTACATAGTAAATATACGAGTTAAATATTTAGCGCTAAACATGATCTTTACGCGTTCACCTAACTTTGGCTGGAGTCGCAAACAAAGGTGTATTCACAAATCCAAATAATACTGGGAAATTCTACCTGAGGGCCGCGCGTTAAGGTGAACGCACACTTAACGAGCCGAAGGAAACGAATTGATTTTTATATTAATTCCTGTGAAACCTCGCACACCTGCCCGCTTTGTATTGTTCAAATCTGGAAGAACCCCAGTCCATGTGGCATAAGTACCACAAATATAATAACACGTTTTTTATCGCGTCTAACTGTCAAAGTCCTTAGTAATTTGACAATTGAGCGTGATAAAAACGCGTTATATATCATATCGCGGTGCTCATGCTAGGGGGGCTGAGAAATTTGTCTCACGGAGTGCGTCGAATCTTTGGATGCACACGCTCACTTTGGCCTATGTTTTAAAAGTTAAGTTTCCGAAAGTTTTTCTTTCTTAGGAAATATTATGACTGCCATAAATTCTGCCAATATCTTTTGGGTACTTTTTTTGCCCTGGATAAGTGTGCGTACACCATTAGTCGGCAGCGAGTAAAGCCGCGCCGCAGCGCTTGTATACTATGTTCCGCTTAACACAATACACACATCGATTTGTTTACAAGATTGCGTCAAAATTCCACAAGTCGGGCCTCCATCAACGCTGGAGAAGAGTGCTCGTATAAAAAACAACTCCACACCTCAGATCTATTCGTAAAACAATTAAAGAGCAAAAAACAAACAATAGGAACTCTACAACAAAAAAAAATAATTTAAATAATCAATAAGGGAAACACAAAAAATAAATCCCATTTCCTCAGTGGAATCTCTATTAAAACAAATATCTGTATTCAATTAAATATACATTTAAAAACGATTTATCCCTGCTTTCCTATATCTCATACACATTGAATGAGCCCGATCGAATGACAATCGATATGTCATTTTCCATCCATTACGACTGTGTGTAACTATCATTTAATTTGGCATTCAATATAATAAAATAATATTACCCTCAATACACCTCCATACATGAAACAAATAATAGCATTGTAATAAATTAATTTTAAAAAATAATAATGAAGTGAATAGATTTGATCTAGTCACAAAAATTACTCTACATACCTTACCTTAACAGGTATATTATAATATATCGTAGCATCGTCCAAAAGCCTGTGTCAGTGAATCCATAAGAGTTAATAGCAAAAATGACAAATTGTGATTGAGTATGTCCCAACTTGGTAGAGGCCTAGCACCGAATAGTGTTGCATTGTCACTTGAAACTAATTAACACATTTTTATGGTTAAATTTTAAGACTAAATGCCTTTACCTTCGACTCGAATATAACACATCATGACACCTGATGTGTCCATGATATTTGCTGACCAAGACCATAGGAAACAATCACTGCATTAGAACTATGCGCTCACTAGTCAACTTATTAAAATGCAATCGTACTGCTATTTCTTTTACACGTATTATAAATATTAATTTTCATTATGGCACATTGTATGAGCGATGTTGATATATGTATGTATCAAGAAACCATGTTTTCTACGAGCCATCCGGAACACTACCTCTCGAGTGTATATTTACATATCTACTAAGGCATTTCTCTATCTAATATAAGCGTATATTCGTATCAATGCAATACTATTCGACATTTGCGCCTTACATTATTATAAAAACCTTCCTTCCAACACGTAATCTGAGATATCGCTAAACTAAAATTGGGAAACTAACTATCCACATGGCACTGTTTGATCGAAATTAGCATGAAAATTAACTATATTTTTTATTTAAATAAGGAAGTTTGTACCAAGGTTTTTAGAAATATGAGTGAAACAATAATATTAGAACGAGAGACTTATGATGAATATCGGCAAACATTAAGTTATTGCGAGATTATGCTGAGTGTGATGTGCAGTTGTGAATTGTTATTCTTGCAACATATATCTTCAGCCATTTTCAACAAGCCAGTGTCAAGCATACATTCTTTAGAGATATGGCACAATAAATGGTAAGTTTGTTTACATAATGAAAGAAAGCATTGACAGTTTTCAGAAAGGCAAAATGAGCCCTGTGATCTTTGATATAGGGTTGATTATCAGTTGCTTTCAGCGAAAACTGACAATACTTTAGTGTCGTCAGCATAATCTCAGTTCGAAGCCGATCATAATGGCGTAGTTGCGTCGTAGTACCCTTGACTCTAACCGATTGCAATAAGGACCATAAATAATATATAATAAACCACAGTTTGACAACGGCGTAGCCTTTGTTGCATAGCAATAGGGTTATAATTATTCATTAATTTTCTAGTTAATTAATGACTTATTCTGTGTTCTATGGTTTTTACAATCCACCAATTTTGACGATTCTTTAGACCATATATAAAAGGACGATTCACTTCTTGGATATTTAAGAATCAGTCATCATTAGTTAAAGAGTAGAAATTCGAAGCAGTATCAAGGAAGAATTGGAAGTTATAATTTGCCGCTTAGATCAAGGGTACTTGACATGACAACACCATTCAGAGTTGCCAGTGCGAGTTTTGGTAGTATTTGAAAGCTACGATTGTTTCGTTTTTCTCCATATATTTCACAGTAACACCTCTAGAAAAAAAGTTGCCAAATATACACACATCGCTTTCTGAATGATAACTTCGGTTATTGAGCGAATAAGGCTTTTCTTTTCTCTTGAAAATCTCTGCTCTTGCAGAGATGAGCAACAACTGCAATTTTATCTGCTCAGTAAAGATTATGTAACAAATGGATGAACAGATGAACAATCTGTCATCTGTGGTTAGGATTACCATTATGACATATGAATAGCATTTTCCAAGGGTCGAACTTTCATTAATATCCAGACATTCTAATTAAAGAAAGAACGAAAATTTACAACTTAGTGACAATCATTTCATAAATAGGGATAGTTAAATATCCTCATACCATGTTCCTTAAAAAAAGCCTACAGAGTTAATTCTGTCAAATTCTAAAATATGGTAATCCTATAAATTATGGACGCAAACAATCTAATATCAGAGTTAAGTTTACCTTGTACTTTACTTGGCCAATGTGTTTGCTATTTGTAAACTTGACATCAGTGTGTCTTTTTCATTCCTTATAAAGCATGACAAGGACAGACAGTTCTCAGATTTACAAAATAGCAAATAGGTATTCGTAATGCCCAAGTAAGGTACCCGGCATCACGTACTGTAACCACAAAATACAGGGTTAATTTTAAAACACCAACAACCTCTTAGGGGGTGATTCTACCCATCAACAGGAACAACTTTTATAAATGGGACAAACGCTGAAATAGCGAAATAAAATCTGCCGTTTCATACAAAAGTGCATCAGCTAATCGACCGAAATGTATGAAACAGCTGTTTTTTTTTCGCGATTTCAGAGTTGGTCCCATAATAAAAGTTGTTCCTGTTGATGGGTAGAATCACCCCTTATGAGGTTGTTGGTGTTTAAAATTAACCTTGTATATGATCATCACCTGATATGGAGAATCGAAACCTAACGTCACAAAGAACATCGTAGCGATCAAATTCCCACAAAACTGGCTGCGTTTGAAACATGGTAGATTAGGGGCGTGCGGTAAAGATATAGATAGTGGTTGCTTGCGTCTTTTGGGTCGCAACTCATGTCAGTTCATCGTACGTCGGTGAGGTTGCTTTTGTCGCCGAACAATTTGACGAGTTGCTCCTCGTAGTCGTCGATGTTGCGCTTCATGATCTCCATGCACGGCCCGAGGAGGCGCTCGAATGTTTCCACGTCCAGGACTGTGTAGTTAGAGTTACGTTATTAAATAAATATTCTACTTCCCACTAATATTATAAATGTGATAGTTTGTATGTTCTGTTATAACCCGACTTAGCAACCATAGAATGCTAATTCAACAATAATGTGTATAACTGTAATTTTCGATAGAGTTAAACTGCAGAGTTGCATTAACGTAGCCCTCACATTATTTTATCAATTCCCACAGCCAGTTAGACTTCGGCAACGAGAAAGAGCGCTCCATCCGGGTAGCTCAGGACTTGGTACTAGAGTTCGCGTGTGTGTAATTGTTTAATTAATTTCGATTAAATTCGTATCCGGGAAATTCGGGTTTTTTAAAAAAGACGAACAGCAAAACACCGGCCTCCTTACAGTTCGTTACTCAATCACGCAAAAACTATTGAACGGATTTGCATGAAATTTGACCTGGATTGAGACAGGTTTATTTTTTAATTTTACAAAACACTAAGGAAACGCGGATGAAGTCGCGGCCGCACATTGTGTTATTTCACCTCAAAATTACCACTCCCTTGATTAAAGGTGAATCAGATAAAGCTCTTCATTCTAAGCGCAAGAGTAAAACTGCCACGATTCTCACTATAATAGTTTCGACGGAATCCCGGTTTTTCTTTTTTTGTACCACATTGTGAAAAAGAAATAAAAAAAAAATTTGTCTAAACTATTACAGTTATTTTATTTTTTACGTTGTATTTCAAAAGGTATTATTTTTATCCATATTATGAGTGGCTTATTTCACAGGGCGCTCGAGTCATCCGACCCTGTGATATCGGCTATACGGCTAAAACATCGTGAAAATAACCGAATGAGAATGCCACTGCCACAGGCTGTAATAAATTTATTAAAACCGGACAGTTCGGGATGTTTATATGACGATAACAGTGATGTCGACGACGAAACTACATGCATAGAAAGTGGAGAAAATGAATTCACAACTGTTCTTCATAACGAAGACAGTGTGTTTACGACAGATAATGTTTAAACAGATTTATTTGTTTATTTGCACTTAATAGGGAAGAACTTAATGCCTGTGTGCCACATTTCATCCAAACAAGTTGGCCCACAAAAGTGGATGATTATGTAACAAACATACCAAACACATTTATAATCTTATATAAATAGTAAATAATATAATAACAACGTATTTATATAGTTATTATAGTATAATATTTAAAAAGTAGCATAACGACGTTTTCAAAATTAAGTCTTCAAAATGTGGGACATTGTCCCACAAATTTAAATTCTTAATATTTCCGATATACCACCGAGTTAAAGCTTGTTATTTTTTGAGTTGATAGTCTACATTATTAGCTACATTTTGAACTAAATTATAAGCTTTAATATTGCATAACATGAGCACAAAAAATTAAAAACGAAATCACTAAATCGCCGATTTCTCGGTTCCTACAAGCTCTAGGGCAGCCATAGAAGACTCATAATATGGATAAAAATAATACCTTTTGAAATACAACGTAAAAAATAAAATAACTGTAATAGTTTAGACAATTTTTTTTTTATTTCTTTTTCACAATGTGGTACAAAAAAAGAAAAACCGGGATTTCGTCGAAACTATTATAGTTAGAATCGTGGGAGTTTTACTCTTGCGCTTAGAATGAAGAGCTTTATCTGATTCACCTTTAATCAAGGGAGTGGTAATTTTGAGGTGAAATAACACAATGTGGGCCGGCCGCTAGTATACCTATATAAAAATTAGCGGTGCCAGTGATTTTGCACAAAAAAATTGTTTACCATACAAACTTCTATCTCCTTTTTGTATGAGGAAAAAACCCCTTAACGGGTGATTTCTAGGATTAAAATCATCCTTTGTCAATTCTCGGGACTCGAAACTATCTGTATAACTCAGCTAAATCTTAAACACCTTTTTACATTTTTGTGTTAGTATACGACATGCATTTGGCCAATAAAATTGTTCTTAACTCTGAGAGACGGAACAGCTGAATGGCTACTCCCCTCCTGGTCGCATTCATGTTGTTCTATATCTAACGGCAGCACTCAGAGAAGTCAATCAACTTACAAAACTTACTTTTCAATGTACATTGTTTCTCGTTTTGTGAAATTGTGTTGGATGTTAATAAATCTATGTACCATTCACTAGTGATCCTTAATAAATAAAATTTTATGTTTGACTAAAGTTGATGCCATCACTTTCTCTGCCAGAATAATAGAATGAGATAAGAAGCATTTAATTAATTTGACGTTTCTAAGTATGGCTGTGAAACATTCTAATCACACGTGTAAAAGACGGTATTACTCACATGCAAGTTTGGTGGGGCCTACGGCGTAAGCGGAAGCGGCGCGAGGCTTGTGGGTGACGAGAGCCAGCTCTCCGAAATAGCCTCCCTTGCCTGAGAACAAAATAAATATTTTGAATAACGATTGGTCATCATCACCAGAATATTAATGTCCCCACTGCTGAATAATGGAACAGGGAGAATAACCACTACGCGGGCCCAGTACGCGAATTGGTTGGTGGTAATAGGGTTGCCAACCCTACTATATTATTTAGTATCCTATTATATTAGGGGATGAAATACTATACCTATTTCTTAAAAAAACATGTAGTAGGCGAAACTACTACATTTTGCTTAAAGCAGATTTTTGCCATAAAAACCTTTCTTAAAATAAAAACTGAATGATTAAGTTATGGAGCAGCAAAAATTTACTCATTTTAAAAATAAAGTAAATATTTTAACCACATACTACACTTTTAGAGGTAACAGCTTCGAAAATACTATATTTGATACAAAAAAAGTTTGTAATACTAGGTGGTAACGAATGCATATGCAGCCAGGACCAATTACTAAATACGCTTTCCGAAGCACGGAGGAACTGTGGGTGCTAACGATTGCATATGCAGCCCGTACCAACGGCTTAACGTCCCTTCCGAAACACGAAAAAACTCGAGATAGTTTAAAGTTTTTGGTCATCCATCCAATGACAATGACCGACCATTGCATAAAGTTGCTTAACTTCTACGATTGCAGGCTGAACGAGTTATCCACCTGCACCATCAAGCTCCTAAATGAATGGCCGAGTTTTAATTCAAATAATTTTCAATAATCATGTACCTGCTACACTGGCTAAGCAGGGAGACACTATTCACGAAAATAATTGTAAAAAGTGGTGAATCTTTGCTATTGACATTGTATAAGTAAGTTACTAATTAGTTTATTTACTGTATTCAGTTGGAGCTTGGCCTTGATCTCGGGATTATCTCTAGTCTTCCATTAAATCTACGTAATATGTAGTTATAATTTGAATGGAGAAGCTGAACTAAGGCATGAACTTTGACAGCTCCTTAATCGTATCCTCGTCGTCAAATTACAAAATTTTTAACATACAAATGTAAGGAGCCAGTTTGTTCTTACGTCCTGATTACGTAGGGGCTGATTAGTTTTTGTAGAAATTTGACTAGGGATGCGATACGATTGCAGAGCTGTTAAAGTTCATCCTTGGCCTGCTGGTGTGGTTTTAGGACTGGTCTAGTGAAATGGTGGTTATAGTGTAGGCCATTGCACTCCACACGCTGTATCATACATAGATTAAAACGAAAAGGGAAGATACGGCACTCGCGGATTAAAGCTTAAATTGTGCTGCATGAACACAATTCGCAGTAGTCACAATTGGACATTCAAACACGCTGCATGTGCACTCAATATAACAATATTACATATATCCTATGTTATAAAGATGAAACAATGCCTTTGATGCTTTTATAAATAACACAAATAGTTCAAAGTCAAATAATAAATGCCTCGGCAACCCTTTCCATTCGTAAAACTGTAAAAACACTTTTTTCTCAAAAATCTCGGTTTGTCGTGCATGTTTTGTACGTAATTGCCATTTTGTTATCAAGAAAAGGACAGCAATACGCTTCGCTGGCGCTGCGTTGAAGCGTACAGTTCTGTCTCGCTCACTCGATTGAATGTTTATACAGACGTGTGCGTGTGTGAGAGTTGCTTATGTAGTTGAGTCGGATCCCTTTTTGTTTTAATCTAAGGTGTCATACGATAGGGAATGTCAATGTAGGGAAAACTATCATTATAAGCCAGCGTGTCCTTCCACTTACCGAGCCGCTTGGTCACGTGCTCGTTGCCGTCGTCCCACGTGATGCGGATGCTGATGGAACCGTCCTCCACGAAGTACATGCCGTCGGCCTATGGACAGTCACAGAGCCGTGTGTCCACTCACCGAGTCACTTGATCTCGTGCTCGTCGCCGTCGTCCCGCGTGATGCGGATGCTGATGGAGTCATCCACCACGCAGTACATGCCGTCGGCCTACAGATGGTCACAGAGCCACTTGATCTTTTGCTCGTTGCCATCATCCCGCGTGATGCGGATGCTGATGGAGCAGTCCTCCACGCAGTACATGCCGTCGGTCTACGGATGGTCACAGAGCCCCATGTGTTCACTCACCGAGCCGCTTGATCTCGTGCTCGTTGCCGTCGTCCCGCGTGATGCGGATGCTGATGGATCCGTCCTCCACAAAGTACATGCCATCGGCGGTGTCTCCCTGCCGGATGATCAGTTCTCCATCGTTGATCGTGCGCGGGAGCAGCGCGTCCGCCAAGTTGGCGCGTTCGTACGGCTGGAAAATAAATTGACAATAATTTAATTTTGATACAATTTTTAAATTAACTACAACCATAAAAAAGATAATATTATACAGAAGAATATTACATGATATTGCTGTAAATCATGATGTCAGTGTTATGAAAATCAATAATAGTCACCTATTTAGGGACAAAGGAATTCCTGTTCCATTTTCCACGGAGGTTGAATACCAGGGCATTACTATCGACCAATAATTAACGAAACAATCACATTGATTATGTGATACAGAAGGCGTAAATCGCCCTTGGAATATGCTGTCGACTAGCTGGGACGAAATGGGGCCTAAACCCAAAAACCGCCATCGTAAGGCCGATGTTAACATACGTCTGCGTAGTGTGGTAGAAAAGAACCACTCAAACGGCAGTCATCAACAAGCTGAATAGCTTACAAAGAATAGCATGCCTTATGGCAACCGGTGCTATGTCGTCTTCGTCGCCAGGTACTACACTTAATGCTTTGCTAAACATACCGGCCCTTCATTTATTCATAATAAAGGAGGCGAAAGCAAGTATATACAGAATAAGCACTACTGGTAGAACGAATTGGCACTCTAAAGAACTGAGCTCTCCAACAAACAGCGCTTGAACTAACACCACTAGCAATGACTACAGATGTCATGCTTCCACTGAGTAATTTTTCCAGAAATTACAAGGTGGAACTGCCAAGCACAGAAACGTGGTCAAACGACTATAAATGCTGCAAAGCTGGAAGTCTTATCTGGTTTACAGATGGTCCCAAAATGCGTCAAAATGTAGGATGTGGAATACACGACGAAAGGCCGTGATTCAACAAAAGCGTGAATCTCGGAAAACACGCTAGTATATTCTATCTAGGCAGAGGTATATGCCATCAGTGAATGTGTAGAAGCCAATCGTCAAAGAAACTACACAAACCAGGCCATATATATAGCTTTTCAGATAGCCAAGCAGCGCTTAACGACATTAACTCGAACACGATATGCACGAAACTGCTGAAAGGCAGCGTTGGTAAACTGAATTACCTTGATCAAAAGAACAAAGTTATTCTTAAATAGGTACCAGGTCATTCAGGGATAATCGGCAACGAAAAAACTGATGAATTAGCATGAGCAGGGGCACAGGGGCAACAGATGAGACCAGAACCTTTCTGTGGCATCCCTAGAAACCATGCTATGTAAATTCTTAAGGAGAACCTTCTAAGCGAATCGTAAAAATATTAGTTAAACCAACCACGATTAGAGCACGCTAAATCACTTATAAAGGGTTACTCGAAAAAAAGGACTGTTGAGATAATAGAACTTAGCAGGCCGAACATCCGTATCATCGGAAGAGTCTTAACTGGACAATAGAAACTCAACAGACATCAATTTCATATGAAATTGAGTGACACTGATGTTTGCAGATACTGCAATCAGCACAAACACCTTCTATGTAAATGTGGGCCTCTAAACCACAAACGTTGTATTCATTTGGGCCGATATATAATACGCCCAGGGGAAATCAAATTCCTAAAAGCTTGCTAAAAGCTAGAAAATTTTTGAGCTTCTTGGAATTTTTCGGGCTAAAAGAGATACTTTAACTTGGTGGCGAGTCACAATAGATCTTATAGGTCGCAGTGACTACAGTCCCATTAGGACTGTATAGCCCCAAAAATAAAAATAGGGACAATACACAAAGATTTGTTTTATGGCAGCCATCTACTCTATAATCTATTCAAAACCTTTAATATGGTAACATCGGCAAGTTTGACGCATCCGTATTTGACTAAGGAGGCCAACAAAATAAAAAGAAGAGCAATTATTTTATCTTTAATATCTATTTCAAAAAACTTATACTGCCGCAGTTCATTATATTATGTGTAGCTCCTTACATAATAGTTCTTTGATAAAGTTACATATAGGCATAGGCATGCATTGTTATTTAAATGAAGTCTCTTCAAATGATTACATACTTGCCTAAGTGAGTCACTGTTCAAAAATGTATAACAATAAGTGTGACGTTAGGTTGAAGCCTATTTCCAATCATTAGGGTGTTTGAAGAGAAAAAAAAGGTCATATATGAATTTTTAAGTGACATTTCCTTTCTTCTTTTGAATGTGAGTGGACTAGCCACCTTGAGCTCTAGCATTGCAACAATAACCAAACTCCACTTAATGTTGTGGAGTGTAGGTGGAGTCCAGTGTCAAGAATAGGTAATGCGGTCAACAAAGACAGAAACAGACTTTTGAAACGCGACGTTAACCCACGCCATGGTACGCGAATTTTCTATGGTCAGTGTGTGCGCATCGCGTAGCATCGGATGTTCCTAATGTAATTCTGATCATAGAAATAGTACATTTGTTTCGAGTCAAAACCCGTCGCGTGGCGTGGGTTGGCGTCGCGTTTCCAGTCTGTTTTTTCTTAAATATATCCCATCCATGCCTACTTGAACTTAAACCCCTACTTCGTACAGCACTTCCCTTTTTACCCGACCGCCCAAAAAAGAGTGTAATGTAGTTACTTTTTTGGGAAAGGGGTGCCTGTCTTTCTCAGCAGGATTACAAGGTTCTGTGAAATGAGCAAGGCCCTAACGGCCCTACTCACAAATAACCACATACCGAGTAAGTGCTGGTGTTGTCACCCTATTAAAACTGCTCATGTCACATAACCCCGTGAGGTCCTGGAACCTTAATTCACCACCAAAAACACAACACCACCGCAATGTAGTCTTCTGAAAAGTAGGGATAACTTTCAAAAAGCCTGTTTTCTAATTAGAAAAGAAAATCTGCTATACTTTGTTTCTTATACACACTTGCATCATTTAATTTCTCCCTTCAATTTTTACTTTCCAGTTAACTCAAACTAACAACAACACAAACAAAGGAACTACTCTTTAACTCGTATGTCTTTTTCTCAGAGGTCCCCTGATGATTCCATACCAAAATGAGTATAAATCGGTTCTGGGGTTTGGACGTGAAAGCGTAACAGACATCTATATTATATCCATATTAGTCAGGATAAATATATCTTATTTATATTAAATTTACAAAGATAAAGTAGGGAACTTTTAACGAGCTAGTTATAATTTTTTCAAATTTGTGCAATGCAGATTATATAGATAAATAAATATGAAATATGTTTATTGGGTTCACACTTCTATATCTAATATATAAAATTCTCGTGTCGCGGTGTTTGTGGTTAAACTCCTCCGAAACGGCTTTCCCGATTCTCATGAAATTTTGTGTGCATATTGGGTAGGTTTGAGAATCGGACAACATCTATTTTTCATCCCCCTAAATGTTAAGGGTAATCCAACCCTAAATTATTGTTTTTTTTTTCAATTTTTTTATGATACAGCATTAGTAAATACATACAACCCTAAATTTTCACCTTTCTACTACCAACCCCTATTTTTTTATGGCGGTACGAAGTTCGCTGGGTCAGCTAGGAAATATATAAACCACAAACAAAAAGTTGATGAGGCAGTTACAAAAAAATGTTTACTTTAAAATAGTTTAAAATGAGAACATAATGTGGATATAAAGCATGCTAGTTAATTAATTCCTGGCACATTTTAATTAACGTTCATATCACGATGGACGTATGGAGAAATTTGTCATGAATAAACAGTGTGATGGGCAATTTCTCTTTATAATCGAGGAAAATTATTTGTGAAAAAACAGACATAATATGAATAAGTAAACTAGTGAAGTGACCGACCCTCGCTTTATTTTTTTTTATACTATCAGGTAGGTTTTTTTAGAGGTAGGGCACAGCGATTTTCCGCTCGAATTGGAGCGCCCGTCTGGGGTTGCTTCCCCAGACGGGCGCTCCAATTCGACCTCCACCTTACAAGACTGCAGTAAAAAAACAGTACCTTTTGGTAATGTTATGTTTCTGCTGGTGAGTTGGGTTTCAGGGCACCGTGGGGTAGGGGTCCATACATATGAACCTTCCACGAAAAATCGCATTAAAACTTCTGATGCATTGTTTAGGTAGAGTTATCAGATATACCGACAGTTCCGTGGTCAATAAAATGTGATAAATTGATTTTTCTATCTCTTTCTTTGATATAGTAATAAGTTTCAATATCTGCACCTTACAGAAGACAACTAGTGGTGTTGATTGGTTAGTTACCGAGCTTAACAAAAGGTAGTTTAATTTGGTACGCAATGTATATGTAATTTTAGCTTCCAGCCATTTCATTAGGTTTTTCTTAAGATTCATAAGACTTTAAACAGATGATGAATCAGGGCCGGACACATTTCTCGAATGTATTTATTTATAGGCATGTGGCGACATAACATAATTATATAGTATTTTTAAACCATAAATTACAATATTAAAATAACTTCACGAATGCGTAGTAACATTTTTATTTAGCATTAGTGGCCCGCCCTCGCTTCGCTTCGGTATAGAATTGATCAAAATCCTTTCTTAGCGGATGCCTACGTTATAACATCTACCTGCATGCCAAATTTCAGCCCGATCCGTCCAGTGGTTTGGGCTGTGCGTTGATAGATCACTATGTCAGTCAGTCAGTCACCTTTGAGTTTTATATATACACAGTCAGGTCATAAGTATTGTTACACAGTAAAAACTTTTCTTTCAGAATGCTGGCCACAAACAAGTTCATGAAAATAAAAATGTATACTTTTTAGAATTTTACTCATTTTTAAATATGGAGTGGACGCTTAAAGAAGACCGCGTTGCATCGTTGCGTTTACCAATTCAAATTTTTGACATACTGAATAATTTGAATATAACCAAAAGATTCGTTTATCGTACCATTAAACGATACAATGAAGACTCTAGGGTAGATGACAGGTCAAGAAGGGGTCGCCCTCGGTCTGTTAGGACTTCAGCAGTGATAAAAGCTGTGAAGGCGCGAATTTAATGAAATCCCAAAGTAAGCAGAAACTGTTGGCTCTTCAGATGGGGTTAAGCAGAACCACGGTGAAAAGGAAATGAAGACTTAGGGCTTCGGGCATATCGAAGAAAAACAGGATATCTTTTGA